GAAATACCAACGTTTGAAACTAAATGGTGTGCAAAGGCTAAAATCCCTGTGTTCCCTCCGGAGGGAGTTTCTCTCCCACACACACCTTGTATGTTTCTCTCACTCTCTAACCCAGTGCTTCTCAAACTTTGTTCAGTCATGTACCCCCTGACCGACCCCGAAAATGTTTGATCGAAAAAGCCTATAATAATTCCAATACAGTGATGTTCCCTCAGTGATGTATTAACTCCTTTACAACAAACTAAGGATATTTTCATTTTATGCATGAAAAAAAAAAAAAATTAAAGGAGTTTTTCAACTGAAGTAATATCTGTTTAACAAACCAAATGAACAAAATGATATATTATGCAAAAATATAAAATACAATACACCGTACTAAGATTATTTTTGTAATCATGCATGGTATTTTTGTAATTAACTTTTTTTTTGTTGTATCTCACGCACCCCCTGCAGTACCCCAACGTACCCCTAGGGGTCCGCGTACCCCCATTTGAGAATCACTGCTCTATTGTTCCAATACAAATATGTCAACGCTGCCCTGTCAACAAACACAAAGTCATCGCGCCGCTCATCATTCAGAGGACGGCTGCTTCTCGCTTCCTTGAAGGAGGAAGGATTACATTTACCTCGAGAGCCAGCGATGGTTTGTTCCATCTGTCCTCTCCAAAATCCTCTGACTAATATGCAATCCCTACATGTAGGCCAATGGATTGTGATAAGCACACTTAGCCAACTGTGAGCACATTTGAGGATGCACGGGAATCTGTGGAAGAGTAAACATTGTTGACTAGTAATGTAATGCACTCTATGCAACAGTATCTTATTGTTATTTATTTGATTTAAGTATTGCCAGTTCTGCAAAACCCATATGTGTACACAAGCTAACTGTCAGTATACACAGCTTTCCACTTTAACAATACTGCACATATTTAGTTAGTATTTTGTTATAGTATAATGACGTTTTTGGTATTTTTGTCAGTCATGTAAATATTTGTCTAAATCCTATATGTATAATAGTTTTTTTTAAATAGTTATTATTTTGTGGTTGTTTTTCTTACCTTGTATCTACAATAGCTTTTTCCCATCAGACTGCTGAACAGCAAGTAGACCAGTAACATCAAGATTACATTACGCTGTGTAAAGAGCACATATTTTGTATATAGTATGTCTATTTTATTTATATGTATAGTAAGTCTTTATATTTTAAACGCACACTTTATCTTTAATTTTATTAGCTCCACGTCACTATTATTTATTTATATGTACAATTTTAGCAAGTTTTTATATTGTCCTGTTCCTGTAAGCCAGTACAACAACATTTCGTTTTAATAGTACACTCTGTGTCTTGTTGAAATGACAATAAAGTATGTCTATGTCTTTAACTGGGTTTTCGTATGTGTGGAGGAAACTTCTGTGTAGCAATGCAGTGGGAGTCACCGACTCATGAAGGAGACACGGGACGAGCAGGAGTTCTGATGTCAAACACTGAGATTTAATACAAGCATCGGCCGGAGAAATTCACATCACAAGTCACACAGTCAAAGGTTCTGACTGCACGGGTGGTTTGCCATGTGAAATCTGATCAGCCTCGCATCTTGGTAGACCTTTTAACTAGTTTACAGAGAGTCAAATCCACATATTGGGGATGGGCGTAAACATCTCACACACAGGAGATGTCTCTCACATCTGTGGAGCTTAGAAGCTAGCGTTCTCACACTCGCAAAACCTCCCTGTGCCCTGTAGGTCAAGCTGTAAAACCTAGTATCAACATACGACTGCATCAACACATTCCTTACGGGAGATTAGAAGCAGGGATGGTCGTAAATGTCAACACACAAAATAAGGTTAAATGTCTAGGAGTAAAGACAAAATGAATCCCTAACATTATGCACCAAGACACATTCCTCCTATGTGTAAACCTACTGTGTCTGATTCTTTGCTTTATGCAGATTCAAAGAGGTTTGTCTTCACAAAACTCTACAGATATATACAAAGATTGATGAGTCCGGTTCACAGCAGCATGCAATGTCCAAACTGACGTCCCAAGAGAACATCAGTGTGTTCCTCAGAAAGCCGAGCTGCTGTCAGTCCAACAGAGACATCTGCAGACACACATCCATAGAGCCAGTGAACGTTAGGGAGTACTTTGACTTCTAAATGAAGTGGTGGAAGACAGGTCTATATGTAATGTGTGAAAAGGAGGAAAGAGGATGCTGGGAGATGGAGGAGAGCTGACCCTTAGGGGCGTCAAACATACGTGACAAAACTGGTCTTTTAACTGCAATATTCACAACTGTAATATCTTTATGTGCACATTTTATTTCCATGGAGGGGGTAAGTGGACCTTCTTCCTTAACAGTTCCCACTGTAGTGTTGTATGCCGGTGTGATACTACACAGGTGTGGGAATGAATGTCATTTCTAGATCCTGACTTTATCATAAAGTAAAAAACGATATTGCTCAGTTTCAGATAGCGGGGACGAAATGTTGTTGTAGTTAAAAAAATAAGATGGACTTTTATTAATCCCTCGTGGGGAAATTGTTTCTCTGCATTTGACCCATCCTAGTGTTAGGAGCAGTGTGCTGCCATTTTGAACGGCGCCCGGGGAGCAGGGGAACGGTGCCTTGCTCAGGGACACCTCGGTAGCACTTGGTCTTGCCGGGACTTGAACTGGTGACCTTCAGTTGCCAAGCCAAGTCCCTATGGACTTCGCCACCACCGCCCCGTATAGTTACTCTGTGATCTGTTGTAAGGCACATGTGTAAATGGTAAACTAAAACAATTGCATTTATCTTTCATGAGAAATGTCAGTTTTTTTTTTTGTTTTTTTTTAATTATTTATTCTACTAAAATCATACAAAAACAAAAACGCATAATTCATACACACAATGAACAAAATGAGTAGAAGCGGGAGGGCTGAAGCATAGCTTATGGGGAGTAGCCCTCCCGTGCATCATCATTAGCATCAATATAATAATGGCATTTATTTCGTCAAAAACGTATAGAAATTAAGGAAAGAAAGAAAACCAATGAAAACTGGAAAAGAACAAATCAATAAAACAAAAGTTAGGGCAATAATGTTTTGTTAAAAGATAGTTCTCTGACTACTTTTAAATCCAGGCTGAAGACTTTTCTTTTTGTCGCTGCTTTTAATTGAACTATTCACATCTTAGACTGCACTGTAACTTTTATCCATGTATTTTTCCTTTTAATGTTTTAAATTTAAACTCCATGATATTTATCAGAGGGACTGCTCGAAAGTAGGATATCCATCGTAGCCAGGGTTTACGATCAGTTTTTAGGTGAGTTGTACTGAGGAACAAGTATCACATCGCCGACGGGTGAAAAATAGTGTTTTGGTAACACAGGGTGTTCAGGTAACACTTAAAGACTTTGTTATAGAACGCAAAGCAGAGTAGGGGGCTAGTACACCCTCCTGAGGGTCCGATTGTGGATGTCATGCAAGCATAACATGGTGAAAACAATCAGTCTAAATTAACAATCGGGACGGAAATGTTCGGATTTCCAAAGGGAGGTTCTGTGAATAAATAAAAAATCAAGAACCGAAATAATTGAACTATTCATATTTTATTAGCTTTTCTTTTTAATGACTGATTTTAAATGCCTTTGTCTGAATGTCTTTCATTTTTGTAAAGCACCTTGAATTACCTTGTGCTGAAAGGTGCTATATAAATCGCCTTGCCTTGCCTTGCCTTGCCTTGCCTTGCCTTGCCTTGCCTTGCCTTGCCTTGCCTTGCCTTGCCTTGCCTTGCCTTGCCTTGCCTTGCCTTGCCTTGCCTTGCCTTGCCACTCAGACCCTCTGGAGATGATCAAATTGGTCTGAATGAGTTTGAGAGCGCTGCTTTAAAACAAGAGGTAAACAGTGCAGTGTGGAGAACAGGAACACGCAGCATTAACAGCAGCGTCCCCTCACACCTGCGCAGGCACAGTGTGTGCATGAGAGAGTGTGTGTGCAATTACATTTGAATCACGCGTGTCAATGACAAGATTGCTATGAGAGTTAATTGAGCCTCGTGGAGGGTTTGCAAATGTAAACGCATAATGTAAAGCACTCTAATATTATTGAAATGCATTAACAATTTCACACGCTGCTTGAAAATGAAATGAAGCCCGAAGCCCGAACACACACACACACACACACACACACACACACACACACACACACACACACACACACACACACACACACACACACACACACACACACACATACAAATGGAATTCCCTCACTCAGTGCCTCCTCCTCCTCAAACTTTCTGCGTACCACCCCACCACCACACACACACACGACAAATACGCAATGAACGCACGCTGCAGGAATCTGTGAAGCTACATCACTGACACACCAATCTAAGCTCCTCACAAAGCCGCACAATCTGAGGGAAATAACTCCCACACCTGCAGTAACGCAAATCTCAGCATCCAAACACACACACACACACCACACACACACACACACACACACACACACACACACACACACACAACACACACACACACACACACACACACACACACACACACACACACACACACACACACCACACACACACACACACACACACACACAGCTTTGAGCACAGGAAAACACCTCCATTGTAATTGTCTTCTCGCTATTTCATTGTTTTTTGAATGTGTTTTATTGTGTTATTGTGTTATTGTGTTGCATTGTTGGAGGTTCCTACACTGTAGCTACTGTGCATATCACAACAAAGCCTTTGAATCTATCAATACAGGCACACACACACACACACACACACACACACACACACACACACACACACACCTGCCAAACACATAAACAACATGCATGCACGTGTGTGTGCGCACCAGAAAGGACGTGCGCTGCCTCTCTTCCCGTCCGGCAGACAGAAAGTAACGAGTGGTTGCGTTCTGCAGAAAATAAACAGATACTTGAGTGTTGTTCAAACCCTCGGCTTGCGATGCTGAGAGGAGGCTGAAACTGAGTCACACATACCTCATCTTTCTCCCCCCCTCTGTGGCTCCTCTTCTCCTCCGCTATTCCTTCACGTTTCCTCCATCCCTCCGGCGTTCATGTTTGCTCTTATCCCCTCTGTTTGCAGTCCATCTGTCTCCCCCTTTCCCTCTCTGCTTTGTGTCTTCTTCTTTCTCTCTCTCCCGTCCTCCCGTGGATTCCTGGCGTTCACGTGGGAACCTTTTCATCCATCCTGCTGCCTCGTCTGTAAGTGGAAGTGAATGGACAGGAGGGGGAGCAAGAAGACAAGAGTGAGCAAACAGCCAGTTATCCTCTCACTTCCCCCCGTCTTCCCTCTCTCCCCCTTTCTCTCTGCGTCTCTCCATCATGACCTCCCCTCTGTGTCGCCATGCAAGCCCCTGTATCCTTGTGAGGGAGGGAGGGAGTAGGAGGTGGAGCTATAGTGAGTCGGTCTAATTAAAAAGCAGAGTATGTACAGCTGCAGAGAGGGGGGGGGGAGAGGGGGAAAGGCATCCAGGGGGCGGGACTAAGGGACAGAAAGGGGGAGGAAATGAGCGGCGATTGGTTACTTTAAAATGTAATCTGTTACCATAACTAGTTACATGTCGAAAAAGGCATAATAAAGGGACTTCAAAAAATGAAATCTAATTATCAAAATAAAAAAGTAATCTGATTACCTTCTTTGGATTACCTCAATATCAAATGCAATGCAAATACATATAAGAGAAAATAAATAACAATATGTTTGTACTGAACCTCAGGGATCTAAGTGTTGTTATGTTTGCCTTGCAATCAAATGATTTCTTAAAATGCAAAAAATACACAATAAAAGAAGAAACCAATATATTTCGTATCAGAATCAGAATCCCTTTATTAGTCCCACAGAGGGGAAATGTGCAGCGTTACAGCAGGAAAGAGCCACAGACAGCTTAGTGTTGCATATCTTACATGCGTTAAAAAAGTACTAAGTTATAATATAATAAAAATATGCTAAAAAAAGATTAAAAGTTACATAATTTTCAAAAATACAGATAAAAAACAAATCAAATCAAATCCTGTGCAGTTCTTAGGATTGAGCAGCCCGGTATATATTACAGTTATTAAAGATGGCATATGTATATCAAGTATATATTGCACATAAAGCACATATTGCACATAGTTTGACGGTACTTAAGCCCGGCCCCCCTGATACCAATACGGGGGGGGGGGGGAAACGCGTCACTACGGTCTGGTACCTGAAAAAGGTCCAATGGCACTGATGGTATCCAAATGTGCCCAAAGGTCAGTCGCCTGGACTACTTTTTGCTAAACCTCTCTAAAAAGGTCAAATTTAACTTGTTTTGCTTCAATCTTGATACAGGGTACTTATTATATGTTATACTTTGGATTCCTAAAGCTTTTAGTCTACCATCCCATCATTCAAGGGTGGTTTTCACTATAAGTCATAGTTTTTTTTTAGGCGGAGGTAAGAATTTATCTTTTTTTACTATGTTCCATCTGAATTTACTCTGACAGAGAAACATCTATATTGATTCTGACACTTCTACATCCAACACACAGATGTAACCTTGCTTTGATAAAAGGAATTATTCATATAACCCTTTTAGAAGTTAAGTTATAGTCATTTGTTTTGGGCATAGTATTTTCGAGCCTGAAACCTGAAAAACAGGCTCAGGGCTTAAGAGGTTAACAGCAGCAAGTTACACAATCTACAAAATACAAGATACCTTGTAACAGTAACAAGGTTTAGCAGCCAGGTATAAATTACACAGTTATTAACGGCATATATATATATATATATACTGATTTAGTGGCCAGGTATAAATTACACAGTTATTATCAACAATTTAGTGACAGTAATAGTATACAAATGCTGTTTAAGCTTAATACATTCATATAAAATCATAGTGTATTTTTGTTTAATTAATCAGGAGTCTACTGCGTTAAAAAATATATTAAAACGGTTTTGTTTCGTGTTTTTTTGTCCTAGATGTTTTGGTATCGTCTCACCTTGTAGCTGCTGAAAGAAAAGAAATGTTGACATGTATTTAAAATAAAGAATAGCCTAAATATAAAGGACATTAATTCAGTACCTATAATATATCATCCTGCTAGTTACTGTATCTAATATACATTGTATTTAAATGTAATCTGATGACTTTTTGATGTAATTGTAATTAAATACAGTTTCTTTTTGTATCCTGGATGACGGGTCTCTCGTGGTGTGAGGTGACAGGAAAACAAGGTCAGCAGGAGAGACTGCAGAAAGGGTCGTGGAGGGGGGGGAGAAAAGGAGGGAGAAGGAGATAGGAAACAGGCAGGTAGAGTTATTCTAAAGATATCTCCCATATGGGGGGGGGGGCCGCAGGATAATAGAGACACATGGACAGCAGAGCAAGGTTACACAGCTGATCTGAATTAACATGCAGGTGTGGTGCACGCATGCTAATGTAGAAGCTTTTCATTAATCAGGGTTTTCATTTAGGGGGGGGGGGGTTCTGTGCTTTGGGTCCAGGCTGGACGACAATAACAAATTGATTTATCGATCGCTATTCAATTTACAATGCTGCTTCTCCTTCATTGTGTTTTGTTTATATAGATCCGAGCAAATGGACGGAGCTCAATATCTGCGCTCAACGTAAACACTTCTAAATACCGGAAAGATCCTGATTTTGCAACCTTGTCGAATTATTAAACAAGATATGATTGCATAGTATATATAATTACTTACTGTTAAAACCATTCAAGAATTTCAAATACACATTTTGATTTATTTATGTTTTAAATTGATTTCCGTCTGAAACCAGAGCCCAGTCTGCTCTGATTGGTTAGCTGGCCCACTCTGTTGTGATTGGTCAACCACTTAGAGATGTCCCGCCCCTTAGCCTATCACGTACAATGTGTTGGAGCGCTAGCCAATAGAGTGCCACAGTGACGCATCCTAAAATCTGGTTCCTTCGACAAAAAAAAAAGTAAATTTCTCCATAGGAAATAAGGTCTGTGGTTGAAACACATTTAAGAGACGGATCACGTTTTATCTGATCTACTTTTATAATTTTATAATCATAAATCTATCGATTAGATCGGTTTTTGTCGAAGGAACCGGAAGTGGTAAAATGCTAACTTGCTTCCGGGTTGTAGGACGCGTCACTGTGGCACTCTGGGAGCGTGAGTGTTACAAAGTGCTGTCATTATTTTACTGAAGTAAACAAAGGAGTTTTAAGGTTTTAGGTAGAGTGTGGTAGAAACTCCCTCTAGAGTGAACAAAGAAATGTTAGCCTTAGAAAACCATTTACATGCACTAAAACCTATATAACACCCTACAGCAGACTAAGGCCTCTTTAAGGTGTTTTCATGCATGGTTCTTGTTTAATAAGAAGTCATAAGAAAGATGTTCTCTTAAAGGTTGGGTAGGTAATTTTGGAGAAACCAGCTCGAGTGCGCTAGAATTTGAAAATACAACAACTGGAAAAATCTGCCCCTTCCTTACAGAGCCCCTCCTCCAACACACACGAACGCGCACATGACCAATGAGGGCACGAGATGAGTTTGTGCCAGATGGAAGGCTGACAGGCAGGTAGGGCCATCCAGTTACTTTAGAGCCGGCTCAGATGATTGGGTCGAGCTTTTTAACAGCGGCCAACGGCTTCCACTGATGACCTTTCTTTATGGATTTATTGTCAAAAGCACTTAAGATATTCATTGCTATCAGGGAGGTTAAAAGCATTCCATGGAATATAACAAAAAGTGTATCCTCAAAGGCCGGTTTTCTCAAACTTACCATACCCCACCTTTAATGCTGAACATGAAAATGGAGCCCATCATCAGCCTGTTGTCACCTGAGGCTAGCGAGCACACCTTCAACACACGGAGAGATACAGTCTTCATGCCTGAAGGGCTCAGACATCTCATCCCATTGTGTCGGCGCTGATCACTTGATCTTGTCCAATCTCCTCTCTCTGTCTCACTAACATCCCGGTGAATCTCATTTTAACATCTCGGCCATGTTCCACTTACACAACGCTCAGGACCTCATTTCTGAGAATCAGCGTTTAAAATGGTTTTCAAATGGAATTTCATGGAAAGAGGAACGATTACTACTCCCACATGATTAAAGCATCTGAATGAACATGATGCATAATGGGATATGCATATGGGATACTAGCTATATATTTAATATAGAGTCAAAGCATGTTATCCATATTAACATAACCCACACATTGCATGGATAACTTTGCATATATCAATTAAACACACACATCTTACACAAGGGGTAGAAATCATAGTGTTAAAATACATATTTGGCTAATCCGGGGAATTAACAAGTTGTTTGTGCTAAAACAAGATCTGTTGGTATAACATTTGACATGGAAACAGACTGAATTGGTATCTAGAAATGAAGATAAAATAGGTCACAATAACGTGATGCCTGATCCATAAAGCATTACTTTATTTGGATATCATTAAAACACAGAACTCCCATTAATCTATGAGATGGTCTGATGTTGTGCAAGCTGAAATTAATCCATACGCCTACTGCCTGAATCTGCTTCTTTTTTTTTCTGCATTTGCTAATTTTAAAGAGTCCTCTCCTGCTGATGTTCAGGTGTATATCAGTATATAGTGTCTCTACTTTAAAGAGTCCTCTCCTGCTGATGTTCAGGTGTATATCAGTATGTAGTGTCTCTACTTTAAAGAGTCCTCTCCTGCTGATGTTCAGGTGTATATCATATGTAGTGTCTCTACTTTAAAGAGTCCTCTCCTGCTGATGTTCAGGTGTATATCAGTATGTAGTGTCTCTACTTTAAAGAGTCCTCTCCTGCTGATGTTCAGGTGTATATCAGTATGTAGTGTCTCTACTTTAAAGAGTCCTCTCCTGCTGATGTTCAGGTGTATATCAGTATGTAGTGTCTCTACTTTAATCCCTCCTGCTGGTTTCAGGTGTATATCAGTATGTAGTGTGTCCTACTTTAAAGAGTCCTCTCCTGCTGATGTTCAGTTTATAGATGTCCCGCCCCTTAGCCTGTCACGTACAATGTGTTGGAGCGCAAGCAAATAGGATGAGTGTTCCATAGTGGTGTCATTATCCTTTGCAGACCATTCACACCGCACAGAACTCACTCAGGAAAGGGAACACCCCTCAAAGCAGAATGGAACCTCTGTAAAGGGTGTCTC